CAATTAACATCTGATTATTCCAATTCACTTAGTCAACTTGAGGTCAAGGCAAGTATTTGCAACAAAATTAGACTGTAGTAATGCAGCAAGCAACGGAATTTTGATACGTATTGAAAGTTCACTCAACAGTTAATAATACCGACATGGTAGCATCACAGAAGCTTAATCCTACTTAACGTTTTGGAATTGTTACAAGGTCTCAGAAACTTTATTAAACATATATGCGAATTTTATAAGGACTATTCTCTTTATATTTGTTTTCTTAACACAAATATATTAATACGTTATTCTATTACAATAAATCAAATCCACGAAATCGGATGTTACTTCAAATGTTGTGCTACTAAGTCAAATTTGGAACATCATTATGAAAGTAATATGATAGACTCGGTTAAATTATCTCTAAAGTATGAACTAATTTCTCCTATTTGTTTTAATTCTGGCTAACATAATATTTGATTGATTGCTTATAGGAGAAAGAAGATAATCTGTTTTTACGATCCACATATGATGAAGCCGTTATTTACTTTGATGACGGCTAAACCTAGAGAGCATGGTCACACTTAAATTCGTTGATGTTTTAACTAAAATATGTTTCAGAAATCTTGCTTTATATTTTTTGAACACTACGCTATAAAAAGATTATTCGATCTTAAAATTGAAAATTTTCATCTTCTTTTATCTTTGCATTTCGTTATGCGAATGTACTTTATTCAATAAATCAAGCCGAATAACCCGAGAATTCAGAGACATTTAATTGATTGGGTCTACCTCATGATGTAAAGTGTGAATGTTCAATCGATTGTTCAAAAATGGCTTTGTAGTATTTAAGTAACCTCTCCTGTAAACTTGCTTAGAAACGGTTAGAAGAAGATCTAGATGGCATTAGAGCTGGTTCTGCAGTGCTAAAAAGTTATCTCTATGCTTTGGTGAAAATTGAAATGCAACTCAGAGAGGACCAAAACAGACGCCTATTACAAGTTTAAGCAAAAGAATTACATTTTAAAGGAGTATGTGTGAAGCTCAGAACACAAGTGCCTTTAGGGTGTGAAATTCTTGAATTAACTTCTTTCTCTGGGCCACGTGGAAGGAAAGTCTTCACGGCAAAGAACTCAGATGTAATGGTGCAAATTGATCTTTAGAATATTTTCTAAATGCAGAATAGACGTTAAGTAGGCCTTTTAAGTATAATGACTAAAGTTCTCTAAGCCTGAATTCAGAGATAACTTTAAGGTGTCGCTTTTTGTGATATTAAATTTAATTAAGTTAGAAATAAGGCCTCAGAGGGCTCTTGGTGAAATCAACCCAAAAAACTCCTTCAGAGGTTCGAGCTGTCTGAGGAAGAAGAACCTCAGACGAATCCCCGGCTGAGATCTAGAGGCTTTGGGTGAAATGATGTTAAGGGAACGAACATTAAAATGTTCTGGTAATTTGCCCGTCCATTGATTGTGCATCGACGATATTGTGATCGAGAAGAAACTATTGTCGAGGGTTATCCCTCCAGGCTCTTTAAGTCCGGTTTCCTTGTATCCAAATCACTCTCAAGCTAAGTCATCGGAAGTACCCACCGCAAGGTAGGTGCTGAATAATTTAACTGCAAAACTGTAATTAATTCCCATTATTAGGTCAGGGACAATTATAAATATAAGAAATTAATATTTTTCCGACTACTTGGTTTGTTAAGATGAGATATAGAGAGGAAACGGATACCTACAGAAAGCTAGAATTAATTTTTCGTCAATTACGATAATACTATAGTCCAGCTTAGACGATAATCTTCAGACATAAAAATAAATAGGCGAGGTATATTTATTCTATTTCGTTTAGCGTACTGTTTGTTGAATTTTCCCACAATGATATGAGTATACATGACATTTTAATTGAATTTCACATTTCCTTGCTTTCCCAAAAGTAATTCCCATACAGACTGGACTGCAGTTCCGACTTCGTCTAGGTCTTATCGACACCCCCAGCAAACTCAAGCCGTGGCATTGCAGTGGATGATCTCGACGCGTTAACCACTACCCCACATTACCACGAGTACCCTTGCGTCACAGAGGAGATGTGAATTTCAAGGAAGGCCAGGCATTTTCCCATCTCACTTTCTGTAGTATGATTGTCGGTGAAGCAAGGTCGAATACATCTCATGTATATGTTCGAGTGGTAGTCTCGAGAGCCTACTTATAAATGACGAAAAATTACTATCAGCTTGGCCAAATATATGTAATATGCCTTTTACTTCATGACAGAGAAGTATTATATTTCGAGGGCCCTCTTGCTATACATATATGTGTCTAAAGTCTAGAGGTTTCTAGGGTGTTTTGAAAATTATAAATTCACTATTCACGTTAAAATCTTGTTATGGAACAGCTACTGTTGGAATAATTGGTTTTGGCAGAAATGTTTTTCCATCCATAGACTATACAGTATCTCTTCATTTATGGAATCATCTTGTCCTTGTTTTTAAAGATTTAAGCATGCTTCAGTGCTTGAAATCTTGAGTAAATCTCATAACATTCCGTATTGTCTTGTAAATGTAACTTTTTCGTCAATCGAAATCTGTGTTCCACCGTTTAAAGAAGTTAGCATTTCATCCTTTGTATCCAACTTCACAACGAATAGTATGATCTAAACATTTGTCAAAATAGAGCAAATGTGAACATCCGGTGGACTTTAAAGTTAGCCTTCGCCATCTGGCAAGCAGTAGCCATGACGAATGAGTCCGTATTGCCAGCAATTTTATGAAGAACTTTATTCCACTTATGCTGTTATGTTCCTTATTTTCTTAATTAACCTTGCTTATAGCGCATTCCAAATTTTCGCTGGACTAATGATTAAGAACATTTAATGCTTAAGCTTCGTGAAATTTTTTTAATGGAATTTGCTGGCTTTGTCCACAAATGAATTAAAACTGTGCATAATCAAATGCTTAGCGGTTCAATTGCGTGCTTTTTATAGACGACCGGTCTTCAGGCACCGGAAGAGCGCCGCTGGACGGAGATGAGTCAAGCCTGCCCGGGTTTGTCATGGAGCCGGGTGGTTGGTGTTTACGGCAGCGATGGCCAACTTTACCTGGCCGGTCAGTTCTCGGCAAACCTGGCCGCTGACTCGACTTCTTCAGTTGACACTAAGGCCCGACGGTTTTCACAGCCTGGCTTGATTAGACTTGATCCTAGGACATTAGCTTCTAATGCTTCGTTGGCTGGCTTGTCTGGTAGATCGCTCAAGTCTCCTAACAACGACGATTACTTTATGAACTCCGGTAAGTTAGGGAGGCAATAAACAACTTTGGACAGGTGCTAAGGATGGGCTTAGAGTAGAACAATGGCAGAATGATTTATTGGTGGGATCATACCCACACACTTGACCTAACTTCTTTTGTTAGCTCTTCTGATTCAATTTTCTACTCATCCTTTGTTTAAGTGCTCTAGTTCGGCCACTTTTACTCAAATCGACCCCTATGAAAATAATCCCTGCTTTTTTGTTTGGCGAACTATATTTCTGGGTTAGGCTCCTGAAAAACTTTCTAAATTATCAGGAAATCATAATGATGACCTTAGTTACGACCTAAAGAAATGCAAAATAACGCAAATATATTATGGGAGATTTAGATATGATATTGTTGTTACTCTTCAATAATATTATATAAAATTTTAATAGGTAAGCTATTCCACATATAAAATAGGTAATGTGGGTATTGCTTAGTTTAAACTTAAATCTTCTTGATCCACACTTTAGGAAAGTGGGAACAGGATAAAACAGTCTATGGAGCTTATGTATAAGACGAATTATAATTCCCAAAGTCGTTTAAAATCACTGAACAAAAGGCCAAGTGTTGATAAGGATAGCAATGAATTTAATTATGTTAGTAAGGCAAGATAATGTGAGTATTACATAAGGACAAATTCAATTTCGTTTTAATATTTTAATTAAGCTCGAAATTCACTCAGCTTGGTTACAACTCGAAGACAGGCTCTTTACAACTTTACCTGTATATAATTTTTGAGAATTTAGGTTTGATAATTGTGTAATGATGAAACCCTTAGTCAACTTCAGATAATCTTAAGGAACTAATTTATAAGAGAGATCTAATATCTCAAATGATGTAATATAACTTCCATATCGGGATAAATAAAAGAAATCTTAACAATTGAAATAATATCAAAATTCAAATTGATTACTATTTTCTTTCTAATTTCCATAGGCTTTTTATTTATTGCTATTAAATATAATGCATTTTTAACTTATAATAGAAATGTGAATAATTGAGTTGAAGAAGAATGCATATAATCATTTTCGTAGCCAGGCAGAAGATAATTTAAAATAATTAAGTCATACATACTATAATGAATATCTATGACAATAGCACGTATTTTTTTGAATATATATTAACCTATTGAGTAGCAAGCGAATAAACAAATAAATAATCATCGATTACAATAAACTAGACCAACATATATTTATTACTTCATTATCATTGAAAAATATTTCCGTGATGTTAGTTAATAAATCCTTCATAATTTCAGTCTGAAATGAAGCCATTCTCTAAGGAGTTTGAAATCTCTCTTAGGCCTATTTAGAGCTTACTTATTTTTAAATTGACTCTCTTTTATGGTATTTTTTACTGTAAGATAGCAATAAGAACGACTATATTCGATGTATTTGCCATATTTTGTTATGGTAATGAAGGATTGATAGTTGAATTGTCCTAGTAGGTATTACGTTCCCCTGGAATTTCATATAGCCTTGCTTCCCAACAGGTTTTCTCAGCAAGGGTCGAATGCAGTTTCCATCTAGCCTTGGTCTTACTAGCACTCCCAGCTGTACTTGAACTATGATACTGCAGCGTATAAGCTCGACACGAATGGTCTTGGATCACAGGGCAGATGTGTATTAAAAGGTAGACCAGGAATCTGCAATATAACACGGTGTTGTGGGATTGCCGTTTAAGCCAAGTTGTATATGCTATAGTAATCAACTACATATATATATATATACTTATAAAAAATAAGTAATGTAGTTGATTACTATAGCATATACAACTTGGCTTAAACGGCAATCCCACAACACCGTGTTATATGGCAGATTCCTGGTCTACCTTT